ATCTTAATAACACTTCTACAATAACCTTTAACCTTCTTAAAGCCCTGAGATATGATCTTAATAACACTTCTACAATAACCTTTAACCTTCTTAAAGCCCTGAGATATGATCTTAATAACACTTCTACAAAAGAAGATATTAATTTTAAGTTATTATTTGTGAATACTTTATTTAAAGAGATTGAGCGAGACTGATGTAACAGTCATCCCTGATAACTCCCCCCCTCCTTTTCGAAAGGTTTAGGTATTTTCTGATATCTTTTCTTTGGAGCTTTTCCTTTTTCCCTTCTGTATAAAGTCTTTCCTGTTTTGTCTTGTTTGCTTGTTTCTGCGCTCTGTCCAATCTGTGGGTCGCGGGTTCGACTCTCCGTCCCATCAAACACGTTCACCCATTTAGCCGTGGGGGTGTTATAATGTTATGATCAATCCCACTATTTGTTGGTAAAAAAGTAGCCCAAGAGTTGGCGGTGGGTGGTGATGATTAGTTGCCTTCCCTCTAGTCTTTCACTGCTAAATTCTGGAAGGATAACGTAGATGGCCCTCGTGTAGCTTTGCGCGAAATTCCAAACAAAACAAACCTGTGAACCGTGTGGAATCGAACCCCGGATTTTAGCGTTGTCAATCCACAAAGTTACCGCTGATCCACCGTGGGAGATATTGATTTGAAATGTTATCTTAATATATTACCGAATATTTTGAACTATGGCTGCGCGTTAGATTTCAACCAACCAATCATATGTTAGAATTCACTCAAAAGGTGAAAGCACACAATCAATCCATCGCTCAAACTACGGATTTCGACAATAAAAACAACTCCGTGTTCACATTGTTGCAACAATGATCACGAGCAATAACAAATTCACGAATTGGAAAGTTAATAATGGTAGGCGTTATAGCAATATATATATATATATATGATCCTAATGAAAGCACAAACTTGAATACCCTAATTCGACGGGCGGATGTCGTGACTGAAAGGAATCTGAGTCAATTTAAATATATATCTAATACATGTGACCCATTTTTGTAAAGAGGCTAGGATAATGTTTTCTTTAGATGAATAAAAGGAAAGGTTTTTCGCCATATTCTTAGCGTTAAGAAATGGAATTCATTCGAACATGAAAAAAACGAGGGAAACTCCGTCAAGTCAAAAGATATTTTCTTCGAAGTCACACTTCGAATTACGACATTAGGCGACATTTAAAAAAAAAAAACGGCTTGTATCTTAAGCCTACTTATAAGGGAACATTTTGAAACTATATATTTAAACGTCAAGCCAAAACCCAGCCCAAGCAATTTTTCGTAATATCTCAAACCATTGGAGCACAAAATCGTTTTTCTTATACCAAAAACGCCATAAGACTTACAGATGAAAGACAATAGCTAAGTAAGTTGAGCTATCAATAATACAGAGAAGAAGAAAAAAAAAAAATAAAACACTGACTTTATAACATTTATTTTACGATCATCTTAAGTTAACGTATGGAGCAGATACTCAAGAAAGCTTCCTTGGATAAAATGAAAGATGAAAAAAAAAACAAGATTGGTTTGGGTTTGTTGTTCTTGTTTTTGATATCACATAGCTTGGTGTGGTTTGTCTTGAATTTCTCACAAAGCTACACGAGGGTTATCTGCGCCAACCATCCCTAATTTAGCAGTATAACACTAGAGGGAAGGCAGCTAGTCATCACCACCCACCGCC